CATTCAACTTGAAACACAAACCTCTGCTTAACATCTGTGCAATTCCTCTGCATTTGTTTATCATTCTGCATACCAAAAAGCACTCTGCTAACTTTCTCCAAGTCCAGATGTTTATATGAAATGGTGCTGCTATCCTCCTTTGCTGCAGTGGTAAAATTAATAAGAGGAGATTCCTAAGGAGGAAAAAGACAAATCTTTTTGCTTATGTCATTAAATTCATTCAGCCTGGAAAGAAATTAATCCTATCAAGTTTTAATCAGGTGGTGACTTTGCTTTGATTTGTGAATAACAGTTTTAATAAAAGATATTTCACAGAACAGAAGAATCTCTAGTGCAAAATGCTCCACAGCCTCCTCCTCTGACTGGGAATTTCTAGTCATTAAAAAAAATACCCAAAAGCAGACCTATCACTCCCTACCTCATCTGCAGCTATGAAAATATGAGTAAGAGGTCAGAGGAGAGGACAAAAAAAGTGAGTCCTTGGAAAAAGGGGCTGGAAGAGAAAAAATCTAATTAGAGTGACTCTAAAATCCCACCACCACCTCACAGGTTAGGGGGGAACAAAAGAAGGATTCTATGAGCCTTAGCAGGGCACGTGGTTCCTTCTCACATCTGCTTTCACAGCACTGCAGGTGGATTAACTAAATCACTCCAGGCATAAATGTACCCCCATAGATGGAGGGCGTTCCTCCTCCCCCACAAGGATCAGGCAACTGAAGCTGCACAGGCTGATCCACCAGCCCCATGGATCACGGACCATGCTGTGGCAGGGGAGGGAAGGATCCCTGCCTGTCCCCACACAATACCCTCCAAGTGGCTGGAGGACAGAGAGATATGAGATCCCTCCCAATCCCTACCACTGGAATGCAGATGAGTCACCAATTCAGTGCCTAGAGAGGAACTATCGCACGGGGTGATAGCCCATGTCTGCACAAATACACCTGCAGAAGGGGAAGAGATTTGGGAACAGAAACATGCTTGTATCATACAACTCATAAAAGTCATGGTTTAGCTGTGGAGTGATTCTACAGCCACAGAAAGAGACGTGATCCACACCAAAGGCTGCAGAAATATGGACCAAAGACGAATTTCATCTTGTTCAAGACCTAGAGGGAAATAAGCCACTCTGGGAAAAGAGCAAGAATGAGGCAGATTTGATTATGTGGGAAATGTAACAGTTTTGGTATCTTCACAGCCTTGGTGGGGAAGGTGACACACATCAAGGTAAAACGGAAAGCAGAAATACTCAGGGATGGGAAAGCAGAGACATTCTTGAATGGGTCCAAGTGCCCGTGGTGTCTGCAGTGACGCTGCAGCGCGGTGAGCACGGCAGCAGCATCTTCCTTGTGCAAATCACCCCCGCTCCTTTGGCTACGAAGTGCAGTCCTGGAGCAGGCTGGGCTGGGAGCAAGCACCGCTCTGCCTGCGAGGAGACAAGGCAGATCTAGACAGTATTCCTGCCCCCTCTATTTTCTGGTGAGGGCTTCACAATAGAGTAAATCTCGGGTAGCAATGAGACCTGCTGCGCAGGGGAAAGCTGAGTATGACTGAGAAACCCTTCCATCACGCTGTCACAGAAAGCAAGTTCCCTGGGGCTTGAAGGAAGGCTGTGCCTTAAACGATTTGCTCTTTGACGGGCTTTTTCTTTGCAATCAGCATGTGAACTTTGAAAAACTACCGGTTTGGTTTCCAGAGTGTGCAGTCCTGAGCCCACCAAACCCACGCAGTTCCCTGCTCCCCCTGCGCACGAGCCGCCTGATTGGCAACCCTGCCATAACAGCCTCCCTGCAATTTCTACATTATGTATTGTATTAAAAATAATATGCTTCTGATTTTAAAAAAGAGTTTTTAAAAAGATGCCATTGGAACATCGCCTTCCTAAAAGCTAAAAAGATGCATTTTTAGTAACACAAATATAAGAAAAAAAGTCTGGAACAGGGCAGTATGGCACACCTGTGCATTGCAGACATGGAGTAATGGGTCCCTCTGAAACCAGTGGTGTTTGGGGTAGGAGTTGAGGCTCCATCAGGGCCAGTGGAAACATAGGATCAGACCCAGCCTCTGTTCTTACCCCTCTGCAGTGAGAGGACAGGAGAGAAGGGTTTTCCTGAGGGGACCCTGCACAGCTGATTGCAGGGCAGTGGCTGAGTGTTGTCCAATGCAATGAGCACACTGCAGCAGGAACTGGTGGCTCTGCAAGACCCAGCTTCAGCTGGAGAAAAGGGCTGGAGTCAGGCATGATCTGCCTAAAAGGGACTCCCCACTGCCTGTGTGAACCTGCCCCAAATCCCCTCAAAGCCTGATCTCCATGGACAGCCATGATTCAGCCTCCAGCACACACAGGACAGATGTTGTCCCCTTGGTTACACGTGCAGCCTCTGGTGGACCAGAGAAGTGAACCAAGTCCCCAGCTGTTACCTCTACAGCTGGACCAACCCTATTCTTCTTGTGCCCTGCAATATCCCATATTGATTTCCTCCTGGTCTCTTCCTCCAAGGGCCCAATCACTGTTAACATTTCTCACCCTCTAGGAGAAGTGCAGAGGGCTAGTGCTGAGCAGCAGTCTCTAACCCCTTCTCATGGAACTAGCTTAGTCTTTGTTGCACTGTATTTACTTCTGTTTTCCAAGACTAGGGAAAAGCAAACAATGTAGAAAACCTTTAATTTCACATTTTTTTCCCAGCTGGTAAAAATGATAGCTAGATATGCACACATCAGTATAATCATCTCCCAAACAAATGGCACAATGACAAACCGAGGGGGCGGGGAGAGGGGGAGCAGAGCACAAGCTGGTGTTTTCAATTTAGAAAGTATGCATTATTTACACTGCCATTATTCCACTCAATTTGAGTTCACGCTTTACTCCTAATTTCAGTATAATCAAAGTCAATGAATATTTAATCAGCATTGCTTCCAGAAATTGAGTAATGCCATTAACATAATGTCCCCAGGACTTCAACGCCGATTTTCCTCAAAAGCATGGGACTTCCACTCTTCCTGCCCTTCCCCCCGTTACTTTAACCAGTTGATGCTCTGATCTCCACCTTTGATGGGTTTAACAAGGTAGAACCTGTCCAAAATGGGAGAAACACTTCCCAAATGCAGAGATGTCTCACCACTCATATTGACCCAGCCCCAGGATAGTTAATAAAAGTAGAGCATTTCACTTCAGTATGGCTCAGTATGGGAAAGCATCATAATAACAATAATCCATTTGCACTTCTGGAGCACTTTTCAATAGAGGGGCTCGAGTCATTCTGCAAACATTAATTAATGCCTTCCATTCCCCTGCAAGGAAGACACTTATTTATGCCATAGCTAATCTACAGATAGGAAAATTGGAGCATGATGAGGTTAAGTGCCTGGTTTACAGCCACCCAGGAATCCAGCAGCATTTGGGCAGAAGTTTGGAGCTCTGAGTGGCTCCAAGCTTCCTTTTCTAACCAACAGACTGTGCTGCTTCACTAAAATAAGATCAAGAAAAGCAGCAGTACCCATGAATATTTATGAACAATAGAAAATTACAGCATAAAAAATTGTACAGACATTTCAGAGCTGCTAAGTGATGGCTTCAGAGCTGTATCTCTATGTGCACAGAGCATTCAGCAGTCTGTGCACACATGCCCCCTCCAGTGGGGCTGCATCTAATCTATCATCTTTTCTAACATGACTATCACTGTAATATCTCAGCAATGCCTTCAGCTGAAGACCTATCACAGCATTCCATCTATCTGGGCTGGTTTATAAAGCTTTTCTCCACGGTGCTGGAAAATCTGTGGGGCATATGGTTTAAAATACTGGATAAATTCCCCACTTTCCCTTCTGTAAATCTAGATAGAGCTTTAATGCAACCTTTATCAGTAATGAACAATCTCTTGTTCTCTCATAAAATTAGAATTAATCCTTTTTTATGTTAATAAGGAAGGAACAAAGTTCAATTTTGTTCACACTCACAACACATGCAGTTGGGAAGTCTGAGGTTATGTGTAGAAAATACTTTGAAAGGTATTCTAACCTGATTTTTTAGAGGGTTTGGGTAGTTTAAGATCATCACACTTTCATAAACTCTTCCTTGAACAATTTCTTATTTTGTATCAGTTGACTACAGCTTCTCCAAAGGTCCTCAGTTTGCAAATCTATCCATTGTTCTCACCAAGCTCCAGCATGGCACAGGCTCACCTCAAGGCAGGTGCTCTTTTCAGTAATGACATTAAGGATCACTTTAGAACTGCTGGAGATTTCTGGGTAGTATGGATGCATGTGGTACATGGAAAATTTCAGTTCCTACCTCTAAGAATGGCCTTAAGAAAAACTTCCTCTAAAAGTTCTGCAAAGTTGTTCAAGTTCAAATCCAGTAATACAAATATGTGATTATTTTGCTGTATTACATCATGGTTGTGACCAACTCAAGTGCAGTCCTGCTGGTCTGGCCATGCATTTAGGCCAAGGTTGGCAAGAATGAAGTAGCATCTGATGAATTTACACTCCGACTTCATGTAATTATCCTGATGCAGGTAAATATGAAGATCGAATTTGCAATCATTCACAAAGCCTTATTCTTGACTCATGTCAAGAGTTTGCTCTTGCAGACAGAATGGAGGAAATAAATGGTGCAGCTGGAACAGGGATGGAGGAGTAAAAAATGTGCCTGTAGAGGGAATGAAGAAGTATTTTGCTCGAGCAGAAGTGGGGAGGTATTTGTTATAACAAGAAAGGCAGAAAAACTTGGTCAGATCAGAAGCTCAAGTCAGCAGCAAAGAACAGCTTGTACATGTCACTTTGGCATTAACTACCAGAGAATGAAAGTCCCCCTATAATCTCAAGGAAAGTACTTCTATAAGGCCAGGTAGCATTTTTCCAACCTATGTCACTCTTAATAACAAGTATTTTGAAGTCAGAAGATTAATGGTTCTGTGTAAGTGACATATTCTCCTGTCTCTTGAATGAAGTTGACTCAGCCATGTTCCACCAACACCCTCTAACATCATAATGGCTTTAAACATTAGCCCTAGAAAACACCACTACCATCCTGGCTGAGAGTAAGTAAACACAGCACCAGCTGTTTTTCAGCAGTAGCAGGAATGAAACATGGTGGTTCTGCACCGGAAAAATCCCACCTTCCCCGACTCCGAATGAAAACCAGTGACTCTGACAACACCTAGAGATACTTCCCTTCGAAGGAGAACCAAGCAGTCTCACTCATGTCTGTTCTGCAGCTCACCAACATCCACAGAAGGGCAATCAGCTCTTGCAGTGCTGTTGGGAAGGCATTTCACAGGGCAGTTCCTGACAGGCACAGTAAGAGTTAAGCTGGAGGGTGGGGGAGAAGCCAGAGGATTGCCACAACATATCATCAGTGGGACTATTAATAGGGTTCAGGTTATAACTTATTCATGAACTTCTGCACTTTTAACTCCTACAGTATGGCAGGGTAACTCGGGAACACTTATGAATGACACTACTAATGCACCAAAGAGAAAGGAAACACATCTCTGCTGCTGTTGCACATTAAACCTATATATTGCTCTTCAAGACTATAGCAGATCAGTCGAGCAGACATGGATACTACTGTTAAAAGATCGGCCCTCAGTGCATCACTACCCCCGCTGGGCCTCAGATGCCTTTGGCAGATACACAGCACATTAAATCTTTTAATCTTGGCTATACTTGCATAACTTGCTGTATGATTCCTGTTTCAGCAAACACTTAGGAGCACTGTCAGGCTCAACACGCAGCACCCGTCTCTGCAGTGCCCACGGCCGTGGAGGCCCCGGGCCAGCACAGAGACATTTCCCTTGCTCCCTGCAAGGCCAGTGCCATTCCCAGCCATGACCTTCCTTAACTGTGCCCCAGTACAACCCACAGCAAACTAATGCTAATCAACTGGGCCAAAGCAAACAACCCAAAAAGCTTCGCACCCCGAAAAATCCGTTCCATGGGTTTTGAAGTTCCCACCCACAGAGGGGTTTTGAGGCCAATCCTGGCCTTGAGGGTGATGGAGAATAACCACTTGCACCAGGAGGTTATAGCTGACCAGGCAGCACCTGAAAAATCAAAATGGAGCTCATGGAAACTTGAAGACCCAAATTCCTATGGGTATTTTAGTTCCTGGAGGGGACTGATATTATCGTGCAAATAGTTTAGGACTTAATAGATATGGCAAAGGTGATGGGGTGTGTCAGTAGCAAGGGTGAGGAAAAAACATAGATATCCTCAGGGAACAAGTTTATTCCTCTCACCTACACTCCTGGTAAGAGATTTAGCACTTGTCACTGGTCACTGTTTTATCTCCAGTGTCTTAATTGTCTTCCTGCTAGTTAGGGCTCATTGTATGTTATATTGATTGTTTTTTTCCCCACTAATTGACTGTGTGGTTGTTGGGTTCTTTAATTGCCATCCTGAAAGGCACTGTAAATTGTCCTGCATCAACATTAGTGAGGTTAAAAAAACAAGAGTGGTGCAAGGAATTTCAGTGTTGATACAGTGGGGAAATATATCAAGGCAGGCAGCTTCTGTCCCCAGCCCAGTCACACAGTCTAAATGCTGAAATTTACCTATTTTCCATTGAGCTTATTATAAATATACAGATGAAGACATGAACCATGTTCTGTAATCCCAACAAGAAGATCCTTAGATATCTCCCTAGGCTCAGAAGACAAAAAAACCCTTTGCAAAGGAAATGCTCCACCTTCTGGAAACACGGCTGCCACCAAACCTACAAGGTCTTGGAGAGCTCTCAGCCAACTCATCCTAACATTGTACACCAAAAATGAAGATTTTCTTATTAGATTCTGGATTCAAGCTCTGGTTTTGAATCATATTCTGGTTCATTATTCATTAACCCAGATGATGGATGTTCACAGCATGTCCTTTCCAACACACATGTGCTTCCTGGCTCCTCCTCCAGTTATCTGAAGTCTGATCCAAGCCACAGAAATTAATGGGTATTTGCTCTAGACTTCCACAGGCCTTTTGGTTCAGATTTTAAAACATTTAATGCTTCTCACAAACCTAAAGATACAGACAGGGACCAAGGGAGATTTTCCAAGTCATCTAATTCTTACTAATTAGCTTCAGCCATGTTAGAGCCTTTGAAAGTTTGACAAAGCACTCACAAGCATTTTTAGACAGTTAAATTGCTTTACCTGAATCAGTCCTCCAGCTCCTATATCTGCAAACATTGTCTGCATATGCAAACCCAAACTCTTAAACCAGCTACACTGGACAGGATGAGTCAGCCCTGCAATATATTTAAATGCTCTGGAGATGACAGAAGACTACGAGAAGGAAGATTAATTAAAGACTTAGACAAGAAAAGACAAAAACTTTTTTTAAAAAGCATTTAGCAGTGAAAGGCACTGGGCATTATTTGAGGCTTATTGAATACATGCTGGCTCTCTCTTTTCTGGAATAGCATCAATACTGCAATTGATTCCAGGCCTTTTCTTAGAAGAATCCCAGTTCTAATTTAATCCTATTGAGCAGCAGTCAAAAGCCCATCAAGGGAGGAATTCCACTCATTTTAGCAAAACATCCAAACAGTGGTGGGTTTGACAAAACCAAAAGATAGGAAGCATTTTGCCTATATTTGAAGGGTAACTATGACTGCAGCAGTCCCTGTTGCTGCCACTGCCTACTCCCAAGAATGCAACATCCAGGACCTTGCTTGTTTCCCTATTAAGGCAACAAAAATACTTGGCTTAGTTTTGTGTAAAAATGAAAAAAAAAAAATTTAAAGATGCTAAACTATTGGTGCCTGGTGCTTCCATTTTTTTTCCTTTTCTTTTTTTTTCCTTTTCTTTTTTTTTTTCCCCTAGGTAAGAAAAAATCCCTCCCTGCCTATGCAAACATTCATGAGGGGACAGTTAAAGGTTCTTTTTCACAAGGTCCTTTTTCATCTGAGTATAACCATCCTGATAACCTATCCAATGTGTAGTCCCGTTTCTCAGCACCTTCACACTGACCCAGTCAATACAGGAGGTTATGTTTCAGCTGACGAGAATATGCTATGAAAACTTGTGTTTGCTATTCCTACTTATACTGACCTCTCTGTTATTCCTTCTCACCCCTCCTAGATGTAAGAAAAGCAACAGAAGAAGAATCACCCCCTTGACACTTGAAATCTATAGCCCAGCCTTCTCCAAATCACTTGAGTGGTTCTTACCGTAAGTGAGGAGCCAAGGGAGAGTATGTGTTATCCTGACACACTTAAACACCTTTCTTTAATTTCAGGACTCTGTTCTTGAACTTTAACGTAATGATTAGCAATGTGCTGCAGTAGCAGAAAGAGGAGGAATGGAACCGAAGCAAGGAAAACCTAGGGATGCAATCCCATCCATCTTCAGATGCCACATCCTCAACAATATCTGCTGTGACCACCAATTCATTAGACTGATGCAATCTATCCAGTAATAGCCCACAGCCCATCCCTGCTGCCTCCACAGAGTAGCTTGTTAACCACTTACAAGGTAGCAAGTCAATGCAGAACCATTTTTCTCAGGCTTCATGGTTTCCCAGCGTTAACCTTATTAACCTTTAAGCACAGCAAAAGGGCTGTTTATTTGCTTAAACATCTGCTTTGGATTGAAGTGATAAGCACGTGGTAGGAGCAAGTGGAAAAGGGAGGAACACCTTGGGTGGTGCTGGCCTGGCCTCTCCCCGGCTGTTGGCAGAGCACACGCCCATCAGCCCTGGGAGGACAGTCGAGGCAGACTCTGTCTCATGATTGCCCTGTGCAGATGTTCTGTTTGGCTGCACTTTGCTGTTTTATCTGCTGATGGACCGACTCAGTACTCATCTTCCTCTTCTTTCAGAGTTCTGCATTTATGTGTATCCAGGGTATCCAAACTCAGCCCATAGCTTTAATTTCTCCTAAAACTCAGACAAAGGCACAATTCTTTGGTGTTCTTTCTGCAACCTCTTTTATGAACCTGTCCCTGTTGTTCTCAGACTAGCTTGGATCAACTTCTCTCTAAAACTGGATTCACACTGGGCAGCTTAAAAAAGAATCATACACATACATGCACACACAAACCAAACTAATATACATCTAATTCTAAGGAGCTGATGGCTACTTAGGATCAGTTCACTTTATAAATGAGAATAGACGAAATACTGATCAGAGAAGTCTACTCAGTGCTTCTGCAGCTTTGTCCAATGCTCAGGGATTTTGAAATATTTCCATCTTCTGCCAGTTCAAGCAGAATCACTTTCTCTGAATATCTTTAACTCTCACCTTCCTCCCAACACTGAGGCCCATTCTCCCCATGTCTTCTAGTCCAGTCTCATCACCTATTGGAAATTCCACAGGGAGAAACCAGAAACAAGTGTTCTCCTTCAGCCATACATAGTGTTGATGTCATGTCCTGTATGTGATACTTATCAACATTATTTAACTGCAAACCTGATCTGATGCTCCACACTATATCCTAGCTCTATGCCTTATTGTAGGAACATGAATAGACAGCGTGGCAGGGGTTCTTAAAATGAGAAAGGGAGCAGAGACAATCTCCAAGAGTTTTATATCTGCATATTGAGGTGCCTGACAAAGGTTTGCAAGCATTTTTTGCCTGTGAACAGCACACTACCCACCAGTATTTGCTGTGTCTGAAGGTGCCAAAAAAGCAAGCTTGAAACACACACAGGGGAAGGACTGAGTTGAAAAAAAGCCAATTTAGTATCTTTCTGCTCCCAACAACCATCAAGCACATAAATGAGTCTTGCACTCTTCTTTCCTCATCTTCACTCTGTGGCCACTCTCCAAAGAGAAGGCGGTGTGATGAGCCAGAGGAAAGCAAAGCAAAACATCCCTGTTTCAAGATCTCATTAACTGGGAAGTTAATAAGTGCACTGAAGCTTTCATTCCTAAAGCTGAAGCAGGAAAAGTTGAGAGGAGAAAAAAATACTTCTGAAGTGTCAGAATTTTTATTTCTCATCTTTAATGGTGCCTCTGTACATTTTTAATATCTGCTCTTCCACTTGAAACCCACAGGAGAAAGGTTTAGGGAGCCAGAACTTACTGGAGTGCTTACATCCACATTTCAAAAACCAAAGCCTTCCCACAGAAAATAAGATACTGATTGAAAAACTGCATGAAGTCTCTCCTCCATATAATCTAGAAGCTTATTAGCTACTTTTTGACTCTTGAGCCATTAAGGTTCACTGGCTTCATGCCTTCAATCTCATCTCCTAATATCCTCTCTGGGCCAAAAATCTTCCTTAGTCTTCCTTCCCTGATCTCAGAACTTCACCCTTCATCTCTGCAGTTGAGAGGAGGGGAGGGAGACAAGGAGCTCTTCTATACAGCAGCTAGAGGGGGTCAGAGATTTAAATTTACCCAGAGGACAGATGATATATTTAAAAAAAAAAACAAAAAACAAACAACAAAACCAACAAACCCCACCCAGAAACAAGCCAGATTCAAGGCAACACCAGTTGTCTTTGTTTCAAGAACAAGAACTAAGTCAAAAGCCTGTGATCATGACAACAGGATCCTTCCACTTTCAGCAAGAAAAAGCACCTCAACACTGTGGTAAAGATTTACACAGTTTATAGATAGCAAAAGGCTCAGGCTTTCTTTTACACAAAAGGAAAACTAATCCTAAGGAAACCAGAAGGCTGTTTAATTTTTTAAGTCATCCACTATTAAATAAATAGCAGGCAGAATCAATGGCTTCTGCTGAAATTCAGCAAAACTTCCTTAGCATTTTGAAACATCTCTTTTATTCCATTGGGGTGATTTTTTTCTGTTTCAAAATAAAATTTTTCTTTTGGAAAAATCAATAATCAAAGACCATAATTCCTCACTTGCTACATGTTTATTTGCTTCCAGCTTCTTAAGATCAATGTACTTATGTCTAAAAATAATCACAAGTGCTACTAAAAGTGCAAATAAATTCTAAGCAGCCTAGCAAAGCAATGCTCATAAACAATAGTCAATGTTCATAAGCAATCCTATGACAACAGATGTGGTAAAGAATTAATTACTGCTTGTACTGTCTTAGGGCTTCAGATCACTACAGAGGGTTGACCCAAATCATCTGCACAAGACCCTGGGGACATGCATGATCCCACTTTTCAGAGAGTCTCTCCACTCCAGTTTGTGTGTTAGCACTTAGCCAAAATTAAGAAAACCTTTTCATTTGCCTAAACTGGAGCCTAATAGGTTTTGTTTATTTTTGTCTCCTAAAAGTGCCTCTGGTACTTAGAAATCTGTTATTCAACTCAGAGTTCAGACTAACACCCGTTACTTTCAGAGGGAGAGAAGGGTTGGGCTTATCCCAGATCCTTCTTCAGCGTGCCAGGACCACACTTGTGATTGTTATCACTGCCACCCATGGAATTGCCCAAGCAAAATCAGGACATCATCACTGCCATGGAAATCCAGTGTTTTGTCACAGGGTACTGAAAACTGGTGCCTGGGAAACAGCAGCAAGAGCTCCAGTTCACTCCTGTTCCAAATGCAACCTTTGCATCATTTATATTTAGAGTCAGGGGGTTTGTACAGTATTTGTGTGCATCTGGCGTGGCTCCCTCCCCTTGAGAGCCTCCACTGCTCTGTCCTGAGGCCACAAAGGTCACTGCTGGGGGGGGGGGGGGGGAGTTTCAGTGTATTCACATTAAGCCAGACTGATGTCTGAAACTTAATCAAAGTTTTGCTTTCTCTTGTGCTCTTCCTAATTTTCACTTTGGGTCACCTCCCTTTCAGCAGCAGAAGAGGCAAGAGGATTCACCCTGGCTGTTGGAGTCAGTTCTTCACAATAAATTACACTTAAAATTCCTTTTAATACTCTGCTTAGACATACTGTAAGAGAAGAATGGATATCCCAAATAATTAAAATATGTTTAATTTGCATGGAGCTCAGGGCATTGTTCTGACATCAAACATCACTGTCAGCCATATGTGGAATTTCAACTGCCAAGTGCTTCATTTATGTGAAAATTAGCTTAAGTGTACAAAGAATGAAAAATTTATGATTATTTCACATTTTAATAAATGCAGTGCTATGCATTAATTTAGACTTCTAAAACAATTTTGACAGTGACAAGGGAATCCTTCACAGACTAAGTGCTGTAGCGTGCTGTGTTTCACATGTCCTGCGGAATTATGTGGTAGAGTGTTAAGGCAGTTAGATTTTTATGTTTTTAAACAAAGATATGATATGACTATATCACTTAAAATACTTCTTCAGTTCGCTCTTTCCCCTGTTCTCCCATGAGAAACTACAGTACCTATCAATAGCTTTCAGACAGATCGGCATCTCGCATTACACAAAAATGTTTGCAGTGAGGAAAAAAAGTGCATATATTACATTGTTCAATGTAACAGGCATTGGCAACTTTCTCCAGACTTTTGTTGTACAGGAAAATCACTTGGATGGTGACAGAATCTTCCACGAGGTGCTAAGATCTGACACCAGTGCATTATTTTTCATGAGTATCTTCTGTTCTTCGTAATAAAACACAATGCTGCACCATCTCTCACTCCTTATGGGCCATATGGGCTTTCTCCAGACCTAAATGGCAATCCCACAATGTTTTTGTGTCTGGAGTACAAGAGACTAAGAGAGGAAATATTAGGAACACCTTAGGAGCTGCTTCTTCTCTTGGTCCAACCAGAGGTCCCCTTCAAATGCTATTTTTCATATAATGATCAACTTTGCATTTTGCATGACAAAATTAATAAAGCACTTCTGTGAACAGAATCGTAGATTAGTTTGGGTTGGAAGGGACCTTTAAAGGTCATCTAGTCCAACCCCTCTGCAATGAGCATGGACATCTTTAACAAACGCCTGAAATACTGTACAACCCCCCCAACTCAAAACGTAAATGACACAAGGAAAGAAGAGGATTTTAGCTGTTCTCAGCCCACACAACTCTGACTTTTGTGCTTTATAAGATCTGGCGTTTACAGACGTGTTAAACACAGTGCACTCCCCTCTCTGCATGTATTGCACGCTCAAAATCTACATTAAAAGGAGGTTATTAACACCATCCTGCAAGAGTTCAGAAAAGAGACCAAACCCAACTTCATTCTGCCATTTCCTAAGGTGGGCCTCTTTGAACAAAACTCTTTGGTGTATTTCCATTTCTTCTTTTTTATTTTTTTTTTTAAAGCAAACTTATAAAAATGGAAATTCTATCACATAGCCTCACCTTGAGCACAGATGAATTATAAACAGGGTTTGATCCTTCAGATCCACCTAGAGCTCTCAGCATGTGAGCTTATCTAGTAACCAAAAGCAGCAAAAAGCCTTCATCCTATCTGAGAATCAGCTCTGAAAGGAGATGAGATCAGACATATGCTTTGCTATTGGCTTTCATGGCTGTATCCTAACAGCAAAATAGTACTAAGAATAAAGAACCTTAAGACCCATTCCAGCTGCTTTAAAAAAGGTATGATCTGGCAGGCATAGCTCCCCTGTAAACTATGAATTGTGAGTCAAAATCCCCACTTCATGGTGAGGTTACTTACGGCGTGTGCTGTCAGAAAGCAGATCTTACTCCTCATTGCAGTAACACCAAGAGCAAGACTACTCTATACCAGGATAGCAGCAAACTTTCTCTCTGTGTGTCTTTGGCAAAAGAAAGCTTGGTCTGGGAGGGGAACCAGTCACTTAGAAAATCTGCTCACTGGGTTGGACATGTTTATTTTGTATTTTGCAGGTCTACGACCTTTTGGATTAATGTGTGAAGGGCCACTCTCTCTAGATGGAAGCAGAGCCCAGGACACTGCTGGAGTCCCTTGTGTGTCATAGCTTGGTGGTTTGGATGCCACCAGCCAAGCACAGGCATTTCTAGACTGGGTGGGCAGGCACAGGCTGATGTGGTCCCACCTGCCTTCTCAGAGGAGTCTGGATTGAGGCACTCTTTGTGTAGGCAGAAGGAAATCAAGGGAAGAAGGAGGTTGCGAGTATCCTTGGCTTTGCAGAGGGAGCTGGAGAGTGCTGTGGGAAGACACCTTTCCAGGGAAAGATTTGTGGGACCTAGAGGGTCACAAATTAACAAAAGGACCAGCAGCTCTGATGGCTGTACAAAACGCAGCAATCAGTAAGAAGGATGCCTTTCTGTAAACAGTTGTGGTCTGAGACTGAGGTGAATCCCTCCACCCTGCTCTGCAGCTTGCCCTGTGAACACTGCAAGAAGTCAGTGCAGGCAGAGCTGGTCACTCTCATTGCTCCCCTCAAGTGCCCCCCACCAGCCTGACACCACACAGGGACAGCATGTGCCACCTGCTTTGCTTGGTCCTCCTCACCAGTGCACTAACACCTCTCCAGCCTTAAAGCTAAGGGTCTGCACTTGTTCAGTTAGTGCCTGTCAAGAGAAAATTAAAATGCAAACAAGAAAATCAGTGTCTGGGGCGTTTTAATAAGCTCTTTACTGGCATTATGCTGCGAGTGCAAACTGATGTTTGATACCTGGTCCACCAGGGCAAATACTGGTTCAAAAAGAAACCCCTGGGATTTAAACATCTTCATGGGCTTTGCACTGGATAGTAGATATCTCATAACTTACATAATCACTTCAAGTGGGATTTCAAAAGTATTCTGCTCTAGTGTTATTGCATTTCCACCACAAATTGAAGCTAATTTTAAGTACTGATTTGAATAGAGACATTTACGGGACTTAATATTTCTCCAACACTTTTTACTAAGCTTTTGTGCAGTCTGTAAGTCAGACAAGAATTGTATTTGCATATTCGTAAAATAGCACGTGGATCATTTTCATTTGGAGAATACAACAGAAAACTGCCATCAGAAAATTAAAGGGAAATCTAGAAGATGTAGGCATTTAAAAGCAGACGAGGGGCTGGCATCTGGTTCTTTATTTGGCTATTGAGTTGTGTAGAATACAACTTTCTGAATTTATGGGGGAAAAGTTTCATGTGATTCAAGGACCACACTGGGATGTTTTTAGCCAGATGAAATTGAGATCATTCCAGTGTTAAATATTTGCTGGAGGAGGTTAAGCCTTCAACCTGCTACCAACAGGCTGCCCCAAGGAATTGTTGCTAACTGCAGAATATTTTGTCACATGCACTTTTCAAACCAGTAACACTAAACCAGAGGACTGAAGCTGTGGAGAAGGAAAAGGCAGCACAGGGAGCTTGCAGCACCCAGGAGACCAAGGCAGCAGCAAAGAGAGTGACCTGTTATTTATATCAGTGGTGACCAAATCTGGACTTCCCTGCCCATTCTGCAGCACCAGTGCAAGACAGTCACTAACAATCTTGCTTTCATGCTTTGACCAGCTCAAAGGTATCAGTAATACACAGAGGTATCAGTAATGAAACACGCTCTAAGGAGATGTGCTGATGCTTCACCAACAGCAGGATGTTTTCAGAGAAGAGATGAGTGTAGTCAAGGACATTTGGCACCTCTGCCTCCAGCACCAGCTCCGAGGTGAACAGGAGGCTGGGCTGGGCTGGGTTCACCATTTGCTCAAGGCCTCTGTAACACACCGGTTCAAATTACCCACTGTGCATTTATGAGCTTCTGCTCCCAGCCTCTGTAATTTGCCTTAGCTCTGCACCCTTTTTGCTCAGTTTTCAAACTCTAGATTCATGTTCCCCATTTTAATCCGAAAGCTGCATTTGGAAACATGCCAGGAGAGGCAAAGATCAACACCAGGATGAGATTTCAGCCATGGGGTTCTTCAGTGAGAAAAAAGAAAAAGGCAGAAATGAAAGATAAATTGAGAGAGAAGCAGATACAGGGGGAGGTGGTGGAGCTGAAGATGGTAATGGGCCATGGGAGCAGAAGGGGCAAAACAGGATCAGGACAGATTGAAACTTCACAAGTGAGACTCTTACTGAGAATGAAGATGAACCGAGATCTTCTCAGTCACCTGTTATATACCATAAGAGGAATTGTCTCTTCACCTTTTGACTTACAGGGCCCCATACATTGCTGCAGAGTAGTAAAAATATTAGAAGTTCTGTGCAAAAGAGGCTGCTGGATGATGATGCTCATATTGTGAGTCAGGGTTTCTGCACTAGTCCAAGGCCAAAGTCCAAGCAGACTTAAGAACACAAAAATCATTAGATGTGAATTCCTCAGAAGCAATCAAAAAGCAGCCAGGATTCAGGTTAATGCCTTTGGTCATCTCCTTTTTAATGAGCCTGAAAAACAATATATCTTCAGCTACAAATACACCGCAGGCATAATGTATGGAGGCACCCAGGGTGATTGCAGAACCAGGTGAAACAGAAAATTCAGTCAAATCCTCCACAGAAACATTAGGTTTGGAAAAGACGTCCAAGGTCATCAAGTTTCAACCTTTGACCCCAAACCACCATGGATGGAGGCTCTGCCCCAGTAAGGTTGTCTGGACAAGTCTCTACAAGCCAATCTCCCCCCGAGAGACAAGCAGAGATACACACAGCACAGCTCACACACGTTGGCTACCTGGCACACTAATACCTGTTTAAGGTTCCACCCATAGTACATCCCACCCACAGCACATACCCTTCCTGTGTGTGTGCAAACAGTGACATGTTTACACTGGGGGAATTCCAGGTGGGATGATGCCCCTGAGGTCCTGCAGTCATGACAAAGCTGGGCTTGTGCCCCTAATCCTCCAAACAGGAGGCAGGAGATAAACTGTCACTGGAAAACGGATGTTGAACACATCCTTCCCACACCTCCTGCCAGCTGCTTGCAGCAGGGCTGGCATGAGATTTACAGCCAGCTGCTAACCTTAGCGGGAGGTACAATGCCACAAGAGCAGGTAGATGAAACAGGGAGAATCTGTCGAGGATTTAAGAGAAACAAAAAGAAAAAGAAGAAGAAAAAAAAAAAGAGAGAAAGAATTAAATAGAAAAAGGGGTTGGGGGATAATTACAAAACAAGTATTTTTAATGGTTGCTGGCAGAAACCCCAACCCTTGTATTTAAATGGCTTTTTTAATTAAAAAACAGCAGGCTATGAATGCTAATCTCTCTGAGCAGAAAGCTCCTGATGGTTTGCCTGTTTCCAGAAGACTAAATCAATCAGCAAGAAGGCTAACCCCATCTCGGGAACAGGCATTTCAGAAGGGCCTAAACTTCCAAAGTCTATGTGTGCTGAACTCCTGTACACACAGGGCAAGATGTAAACTAACACCAAAACTACAACATTCACAAAAATGTCCAATGGTGGTTCAACTTTCCCCCCCCCTAGATCTGAGCTGTCTTTCCTTGTTACTTCAAAATGTTTTTTTTCTAGCTAAAAATATCAGTGGAGGCCTGCCAGGCTAAAATGTGCAGTTTGAGTCCCTAAGTGTTTGGGTAGGGAATATTCCAATTGCTCCACATTTTTGCCTATGTAAACTATTTAACTTGCAAATCAGAAAGCAATGTTGTATGACACACTTGGGTTTTTCTTGGAATCTCAGCAGACATGCAGTGAAAAAAATCAGCATATAACCAGCAGAGAGTGAGAGGAGAGAGAAAGAAAGGGAGAGAGAGAGAAAGGGATGTCAACCATATAGTACAAAAATAAATTGTTAGCAATTTTTTATGAACTGAGGTTTCCCAAATGTAAAGCAATTTAACAATTTTGTGCCATTGCAATTCACTGGATCTGTGGGTAGAGGGATTTTAAATGAAAATCCAGCCCTATTCTATTCTGTGGCAAGAATTATGTGTCATTTTGTTTCTTTCCCACATTTTGTATTTGTATAAAGTGTTAGAGAAAGGAAGCCTCATCACCACCAGGAAACAGCATGAGGGAATTACTGGTGCTGCAGAGCAGTGGAAGGCTTCCTAACCTGGCACTGACATGATCTGGTTTAAGTAGATTTGGAGCCTCCTTTTCCAAGCCAGAAAGCTTCTGTGCCCATTTCCAAGCAGGGACTGTCCATCCTGCTCCGACTGGGGAAGCGGTGATGGTGCCCCAGGGCTTGGCTTTTGTCTCTGTGCCCTATGGCACACGGGGCTGTGGTTACAGGGACAAAGTCTGTGCCCTGAGGCTGTGGCTCAGCCCAGCTCTGCCTCTCCTGGGCACAGGGTTTACAGGTCTTGCTCTGTGCTGCCTCTCAGTCACAGCATCAGTAACTGGAAGTCCACGTGGAGTTGTGGAAGAGGAATTAACAGAGCCCAGAGTCAAGGAGCAGCAGCATGGCAGGGCGGTACTTCCACATATACTCAGGATGTGCTCAAAACCCATGTCAAAATAAGACTCAACTCTAAGCCCTGCCTGTGGGGACCCTCTCCCTCCTCTTCCCTTTCACCACACTCCTTTCCATTGCCTGGCCTGTGCTCCCTGCAGTTGCCTCTTTGCCCAGAGATGGATTCCCCTCCAGAGCTCCTTCCCCAGCATGTGGCTAATGGGAGAAAAGCTGGGAGAGAAGCTGGGAGACTCCCTCCCTTATAAGGAGCCCACCCTCCCTTCACCACTCTTTCCATTCTCCAGTTCCAGGGCAGCTTCTGAGCCATCAGTGTCAGGTTGCAAGACAGACAGCAAGGAGCAAATCTCAGCCTCCTCTGAAAGCACAGGATCTCCACCTGACACACACAAATGCCTTCCACCTCCAAACACCTGGTCTTTTCCAGCAGCACCACACAGCAGAGCAGGTGCTGTGCCAGTCTCTTGGCCTCCACTCTCTCTCCCCACACTGCTGTGTCATTTCTTCCTCCTCTATCATTGTGTCAGCTCCTGCTGATGGAGCTGACCTCCCTGCTCCTCCAGACGTTGCATCCGAGCCCTCCAGCACACACATCCGTCTCCAAGCACACTGCGCCGTTAAGGAAAGTACATTCAAAATTAGAAGCTGATTACACAGTTTGCACTGGAGCTGGGGAGTATATAAAC